CATATAATAATGCAAATAAATAACTAAATATATAAATAATGAAATGAATAATAAAGATAATAAATAAATTTAGAGCACCCCTGGATTTATTAGTTACCCCAATTATAGAACTAATCTAAATAAACTTATTTTATTATGTTGTTGAATTAAAATTTAGTTTTAATTCTGTCAAAAATTTTCGGCAGCACCTCCCCTAAAAATTGGACTATCTACCTGGCTTACATATCACAATATCATTATATCTTTTATCAAATCAAAGGCACAACAGCCTCATCCGTCGGGCAAGCAATCAATTATTTTCCCTTCCTCCAACTAAGTAACAAAATAATTAATATTATTTAACCATCTATACAAAACCTTAGCTTTACTTAATCCATGATTTCAACATCAATACAAATTAGTTTAGTACTAAAACAAAAATATTCATAGCTTTACTAAGATTAAACAAATAAGTAAATAAATACGCAATTAAATGAAAATGGTTATTTGTTTAATCTCCACATCCTACTACTTTAAACTATCCAATCATATATAACCTTTAATAATCATACAAAGTTATAGATCACATTTCTTTTACCAACATTAACTAGGATCTTATGTAACAACTTAATAATCCAGTGAATCACTCTCCTCACCAAGCAAGATTATAGGAAACGTCCTATTTAAATTATCTATTAAGCATAACCAAATAAGTATACTTTAACTAATCAATTCTTAGCACGAATTGAATTTATAACTCAATACACTATACCCTTTCCTATTCATTAAGCAAAATTTAACCAAAATAACTAAACTAGCTGCTGCCTCAACAGTAAATAAAAATTCATATATATGAACTTAATTAAATCAAAAAACTATAATTTCTCTAATCAAAAGTTGTTGCCATTTATACAATTCTTAGCCTCTAAATGAAAATTACCTCAATAACACCAAATCACCCACTAAATCAGAAAATTCATGAAATTTACTAGAAAAGGTTGAAATTTATTTACCTAGCTACAACGTGCGTCGGAAAATGAATTTTTCCAGTTAAAGTAACCGGCACCAGCAACCAAGCACCAACACCGTCACTGACGCCACTAACTTGACCGGGGATGCACGAGAAAGTGGCTGGAGGCACGTGGAGGTGAGGAAAGGGTGTAGTCCGGCCGGTCCTTGACTGTTTCGCTGGAAAAGTGAAGGGAACGCTGAAGGAGGCAGCGTCGATTGGACAAGCACAACTCACAGCTCCCCTCGTCCGCTAAACAAGACCGAGACAGGATAGAAAGGAAGGCCGGAGTCGGAAAAACGACTTTTGCCCAGAATTTTACAATATATACACCAAAATGTTCGAAATCTCATGGGGACTCCGGATCTGTGTTCAAATTGGACTGACTGTGCCTTGATTGGCCGAAAATTACTTCGACAATGGCTTCGCCACTGCCATTCATGGCAGTTCCGTCATCCAGGCTTCATCGCCGGAATCGATGCAGGGAAAACGTCAAGCAAGTGATGCGGAGTCAATTGAGTCCCTCAGTTGTACGTGAAGCAATCGTAAACGGCGTGGATTTCGCCGGAATCGAAGCTGCGTCGCTAAGAGGAAGAGGCTTGCATCGTCACCGCTGAGGGCCTGATCGGCGTGAAGAAAGACTGGCAACGTGACCGGCGGCATGAGAGGAATCGATCGCCACCCACCATCGTCAGTCTGGTGGCCGAAGACAGAAGGAGAGGGAGAGGAGGGAGTCGCGCCCGCCCGCGAAGAAGGAGAGGAGGAAGGGAAAGAAAAGAAAGAAAAGAAAGGTATGTCGGTTTCTAGGTCATTCCGGTTCGATTCTCGGTTTCTAAGTTCCATTCCGGTTCGATTCGAAACCGGTTTGGATTCAAATTCAACGATTTGCTCGATTCCTTTCGCTCAGTTTGCAGGTTTTCTCATCCCGGTTTTCGAAATTTTTCGTGTGGTTTTCGAAAAAATCAGTTTTGATTTTAAAGGCCCGGCGGTTTGATTTATTTTAATTATGCAGTTCGATTCCATAATATTTTCTCCATTTAGTCAATATTAATAGAATATGAACAATTGTGACATTTGATTTTTTTTTTTTTACGAAAATTAATTTATATATATACATAATAGATTAATTGCTGGACTTCACATCATTATTCGAAAATTTAACTGTTCTCGATTCAAAATTTTCGACATTATATTTGGGCTTGCGCCCAATTCAAAAATTTGGGCTCGAATTGAGACTGTATTACATTTACAGCCCACACGGTCAAAATTCCCGATTTTTAATTAAATAAAAATCCAAAGAACGTATTCTTTGCCATATTACATTTACAGCCCACACGGTCAAAATTCCCGATTTTTAATTAAATAAAAAATCCAAAGATTTCAAAAATAAAAATTCAGGGTGTTTCACTAATGATGTAGAAACTTCTTACATAAATTGCAAATTAATCTCTTTTTCGAATATTTGTACTAATAGTTTACTTCTTTTTTTATTTTTTTAAAAAAAGCCTAAAACTAAAATTTATACAACGGAAAAAATAAATATTATAACTTTAAACGTTTTAGATGAAATTAAGGATAAACAGACAGTCAGATTTGCAAAAACTTTATATTTTTTAAACTAATTGAATTGAGTTAAAATAATTAATAAACTCTTGAGAAAGATTATTAGTATATTTAGGGTTAGTTCTTCTATTACGAACAATAAAATTGATTATCGAATTAATATAATAAAATTCAATATAATTAAATGAAGTCAAATTTTCTCATACCTTTTATCTCTTGAATTTCCTCCTCAATTGCTTTGATTGATTTCTTTTAAATTATATTTTATTTTTATCTCATTTCTTTTAATTCTTCAAATAATCATTTAAATAATAATATATTAACATATAATTTTGATACTTAATAGACAATCCAGCGGAAATGATACTCTACTAATTACTTTATTATTCTATTTCATAATAAATTGTTAATAAGGGTAATTTTTTCAAATACAAAATAGAATAACATAAACTACTAGCTGATGTAAAAAAAAAAAAAAAAAAAAAAAAAAACCAAAAAAAAAAAAAAAAAAAAAAAAAAAAAAAACATTTAATAAAGTAGAACTATACCAGTAATGTGCATGATATGGTTCACATTAGACAGTCCTCTATAGAAATGCAAATGTTTACTTTACTTTTGAAAAGAATAAAGATCGATTGTCTCCATAGTCCAAACCACTAAGAATAAAGGACATGTGCATCTTCCCACCACAAAAAAAGGTTTAATAGAGTAATTTACTGGGAATTTTGCATTTTTTTTTTGAATTTTTATTATTGCATCTCAAATCATAAGTCTGGAAATTAATTACATCCTCAAATTGATTTACAATTATTTTAATTGTATTTGATAAATTTAATGTCAAATTAAGAGAAGGATTTTTTTTTTTTTTGGATCAATTGTGTTTAATTTTTATTTAAACATTAATTTAACATTTTAAGAAACAAGTTTAAGAAAAAACTGAAAATTGTAACATTAAATTCAAGAAAAAAAAAATCGAAAGCTGAAATTCATGGCTAAAAACAATAAAAGTTGTATTTATATTATATTTTATTTTTAGGTTAATGAAATATTTTTTTTTTTTTTTTTTTAATGGAAATATTTTTTTTTTTTATTGAGTAATTGGAGGGATTACATTTTTTTTTTTTTTTTGAGTATTGGGAGTGATTCAAATATTTATTGTCAAGTCGTATATGCACTTACGGTTAGACCATCTCTTGGTGGATAAAAAAATTTTAATTATTTTCAAAAAATTAAAATTGAAAAGTTGAAAATTGAAACTTGAAATTAAAAAGTAAAAGTTATTAAAAATTGAATTTTAGAACTAAAACTGATAAAAGTTGATTTCTAAAAAATTATGGTTAGTTTTTTTTAGTATTTGTGGAGGAAACTCAAATCTGAATATATTATCAGGTTTTACATTATTTACCATTATTTATTTCTTGCACTTTCTAATATGTATTTTTAAAATATTTATCTTTTGATATGATTTAACACTTGCAAAAATTCGTTTCCAGATTTATGGATTGGATTCAGTAAAAATAATAATATATATAAAACTATAATTTTCTTGAATGATGAGTTAAATTAAATATGTAGAACTATAATGAACTATAATGTTTATAATATTAAAAAAATATAGAAAATTATGATCCATTACATATATTTGTCTTATAAATTTATGATGGATTTTTTATTTTTTAAATTTATTGAATAAAAGTTAATTCAATTATCCTAAAAATAAAATTATTTTCTAAACTTGGCCTGAACTTAAAAAAAATTAGAGCTAATTAAATGAAATTAAAATAGATAAAAGACAAATTTACAATTAGATTTTCCCCTAAATCATTTTTAAATCCAATTAATTTAAACTTATAAATTGGGATACAACAAAATGAATTGGAGTAAATAAACCTACTAGACAACTAAAATAAATAAATAAGAAATTTCAATTCTCATTAAAATGCATGCTCATTTTTTTTCCTCCTAAAAAGTCTTGTGTTTTTACTTATTATCCAAATTTTGCTCACAGCCTTACCTTATCTTCTCTTTGTACCTCCAACCATAAATTATTTTTCCATCTCCATGGTCCCCTCTTACACAGCTATTGCACCTCACAATGAGTTATGCAAATTTGTACACAATCTGATAATCAAACCATTGAATTGCAAATTTTATATTTTGATGCACATATTTTCTGAGATGTGTGCATTTAGTCCTTCCAACTTTCTAAAAATTTTATTTTTACATTTTTTTCTTTTGGAAAATACAAATATATTCCATCTGCTCTTTTTTTTTTTACTATTCATCTTTTACAATATGATTCTATCACAATTCTAAATTCTTTGATATTGCTTAATAATTTTTTTCTCATTCAATTATATTTCTGATTTGACCCTCCAAATTTAGAAGTCTAATTTTGCCAACCCAGACAATTTAAAAAAACAAAATAGAGTAACTATTGCAATATCACTAAAAGGAAAAAGAAAAAACAAATCATATTAATCTATCATAATATCATACAGTAAGCTGAATGACCAAAATATATGAAAAACATGAAGCACATGTTTACCATTTTTCTGCATTTCTTCTTTTTTTTTACAACACAGCACCAAACCCAAAACCCTCTCAAATCTCAACAACCTAATCTGGCTAGTGGCGGTGGTGCAGGCACTCTACAGGAGTTGCCGGGAAGCGAGTGGTGTCGGTGCAGTAGTCATAAACCATATGGTTTGCCTTAACCCACAAGAGTTGATGGCTTTGGTGCAAATTGAGCTCGGCCAATGTGGGTTCATCCCACCAGAACCTTTTCTCACCATTGCTGCTACATTTCTTAGCAACATCAGTTGCTGCTACAGATACAGGGCATTCACAAGCATCTATCTCAAAACCTTTGTAAGAGGCAACAAAGGGTGCATGTGTCCAGTCAGTTTTTACTCTGCCTCCTTGTGTAGCCCAATCATCTGCATTCCATATTGAGCTGTATACACCCATTGGTTGGTCCTTTGGGAAAGGAATTCCTTTGTTCTCCATATTTGTGTGTAATCTGATTGGAGTCTCATCCACTAGAAATCTGTTTTTCATTTTAAAAAGAAAAAAAGAAGATTTAGAAGTTAAATGAAAATAATATAAAACAGTAAAAAAATCTCAGGAAGGAATCTTTTTTATTCAGTAAAAAACTTGGTGGAGTGGGATTAGGTGAGGGTTGTGATGGAACTTTTATGACAATTGAAGACATGATGAATTATTGGTAAGGAACTTGAAAGCTACAAACTTGTCTTGAAGTGACCAAGAACAGAGCAAATCAAGAAAATACGAGAGCTAAATATCAAAAATTAAGGGCATTGGGAATCACGTGATAGAGCTATTGTCTACAAGGAGAACCTATTGCGTGTGTGCCTATGTACGGAAGAACTACATGCCAAAATCCACATCATCACGTATTTACAGTGCACATCATCTGCATGGGACCCTCCATTTGGCAGATATCATCCAAGTTAGGAGTGAGAATTTGGTTTAACCGAATCGAGTCAAACCAAACTAGCTCGATTCTAGTCTATCTGCCTATTTTTATGATAACCAAATTTAAAATCCAATGATATAAAAACCAATCCAAAACAAATTGAATCAGTTTCATTCAATTTGATTTCAATCATTTCAAATTTGGGCTTAAAAATAATTTTAGTTAGTTGTATTTTATAGCAAATCAAAACCAAAATGTAATCGATTTTTTATTCAAACCGATTTTGATAACTAGAATTTTAAAATAACTGTTTGAATCAAACCAAAATGAGTTGGTTTAATTCAGTTCCCTATTCCCTAATCCAAGTCCACTTCTTTGCTGCATTTTGATAACGAGTGACAAGCACTTGCCACATACAACACGCATGAAACAGTGTATGATTAGCCATAGAAGTACATTAGTATTCAAGTTATTTTTCAATACACTGCTGTGCATATATAGAAACTGTACGCCTAATCTAATTTTTTAATTTAATATAGCAATCCAATTCATGAATTCCCATAAAGAACATTATTCTTATGCTTGCACGTGGGTATATAAAAATATTACTTTTAGCACGTGTAGAGATAATGATAGTGTGCTTACACAACTTGGTGCTGGTTCCAGAGGATAGAGTATGAGTGGAAATCCTTAGTAGGATCAAACCAAAGGTTCAACCTTTGCTCCCTGTTACCCACGCCATTAACATACACATTGGTTTGAACCAGGTAAGGTTCACCTGTGGTATTACCCAGGAACTCGAAATCAAACTCATTGTGAGTAGGACCGTCCGATGACATCTGCCACAATCAAAACAAAAATTAATTAAGGTCCCACATTAGAGTAAAGCAATCATTAATTATTGGTTGGAATGGAGACTAAACTAATAAATACATTATAGATGGAAAGCTAGTACTGGCTACGTAGCTACTACTATACTACTGCTATTACTAGTACGAACTCATTTAGTAATGGCTCATCAACCTAATAATTAAACGGTAATCAACCAGTTGCTTCAAACACTTACATAGAAAGCAGTAACAGTTCCAGCAGAGTCGCCTTCTACAAGCTTAATCTGTACAGTAACTTTCCCAAACATGTACTTGCTTCTGGATTGAAACCCAGCACCTGAAATATAAATTAAAAGTTAAAAATACAAGCAACCCATCTATTAATATAATACTGGCATGATATAGTGTAGTATAATACCAGAATAGTTATCGAGCTTGAGACTGAGAAGCTCTCCATCATAGATGAAGTGATCGAGAGCCCAGCTGGGCTGAAAAAGATCATCAAATCTTGCAGAGTAAACCGTACCGATCAGTATAAGACCCACAAAGAAGCCCACAAGAGCAGACATTTTACTGTATAAAGAGGGAGAGATATGAGATAGAAAGAGAAAGGGAGATTCTTCTGCTCTCAAATGCTATTGCTATGCAAAGACAGAGCAAAACATCGCTCCTTTATAGCCAATTCCTTTGGCTTCCACTACAAGATGAAACACCCTCCCATTGGCCACGTCATCTAATTATTTGCAGTACAAAATTAAACACCCTCCATCTCACTGTTCCCATTGCACACGTCATCTAATTATTAAGCAGGTCGCCTGCCACGTAGGATTTAAGAAAATTGAAATTGAAAAACAGAACAAAAGAAATTAAAAATGTAGCCGTTACTATTATTGCCCCACTGAGCTGGCTAAAGCTGGTTCACTGTGGTTGAGGGCACTCGGTACGGTATGTCTCCTATTCAAAAGGATTAGTTGCAGATTCAAGCCAATAAAGTTTTGGCACGTAGGCAAATACAGCTGTTTCACTGCCCGGTCCAGTTGTCACTGGCAGTATGAGTTAAAAGGCTCCTTCTTTTCCTCATGGCCATTTGATCATCTCTCTGATCGATCAAGAATCGTACGCCCTCGAGTATGTATAAAAAATCTACTTGCGTTGTCTAGCTGAAAAATCTAGATCAGATCGCAAGTGGTTAAATCAGATTGGTGGATTGGAAAGTAAAGCCAGTTCATTAGTGGAGAGAGAGTAAGGAAGCTGGGAATTGGAGGGACGTGGGGATCACTTTATCTTCTTTGTTTTTTGTTTTACTTTGCTGATGGCAGAGCCAGCTGGACAGTACAAGCGCACTATGCAATGCCACATCTAATTAAAGTTAATTTTTTATAAAAAAATACTATTGTCAGGGAATTAAATTCCAGGAAAATGTTATTTTGGAGAGGAGCTCGAGATGCGTGCATAATTTAATAGGGAAATTGCACAGTGGAATTGAAATGGGGACAGGCTTGTGGCATATACAGATGCATCATGCATGGAATGGGCAAGTAAGAATCTTTTGGTGTGTTGAAAAGGGTGAAGTGAGGGGTCCAAGGTTTTGGTGATGGCATATTAATTTTTGAGGTAATAATGCAGTGCAATGATCAACTATAATAATCATGATTAAAACTTGTTTCCCCGACCTAACCCTAAGGATATCAAAACCACTGTTAAGATTTACCGACATGCAGCAAACAAAATTATCCGTACACTAAATTAATTAAAAATAATAATTTATCCGTATTTTTCAGCTGAAATATCATCATTTGAGCAAAAATCTGTTATTGATTGATTTAGTGTATTACATTTTCAAATTTAAAAGTGACACTTTAATAAATAATGACATTGAAGAATAAAGAATAATTGATAAAAATAAGATAATTATTTTTAACAACTAATATTAATGATAAGAGAGATTTAACATAGTAACTAACTTATTGATATGATAAATGAGTAATAATTTGGGAGAAACCAAACGGAGAATGTGTGCATCAAGAGAGACGCATGGAATAGTTTTTAAATAAAAGAGAAAATAATTATTTCATCCATAAAATTTGTTATAATTATCTACCTAGTCATAAGTTTTCCATTAAATTTATAATGTCTGGTAGATCTATCTCTATCATATCAATTAGTCCTTTTCTCAAAAAAATTACATTTTTTACTGTTAAGCTTAAAGTGAAAAGACCAAATTAGCCTTGTGAATTTTTTTTTTTTTTGTCATTATTGTCATCCCTCTTCTCTTTAAAATACCAAAAACTCTCTGCCTCCTCAATCCAACACCACTCTCTGTTGCCGCAAACCACCAATATCTCGTCGTCAATCACTGTCTCCATTACCAAACCACCACTAGAGCTAACCAACCTTCACTTCCGGTAAAATTAGAGTCACCACTCACCTCTATCTCACATCTCAACTTCTTAATTGAATACTTGCCCTCAAAAAGCTTAAATTTGATAGAATCATATTCAGCCAAAATCCAGTTTTGAGTCTTGAGATTTGGTTTTTCTGCCTCTTTTGTTGATTTCGCTCTAATTTTTGTTGATTTCAAAGCATTACACCAAAAAATTCTGGCAAAAACTTAGAACAAATTGGCAAAGGAGAGAAAACGAAGAATCTAAAGATGAAAATTCACATGGCTATAACAGACAGTAAAAAGGTGAAAGCCAGCATGAGATCATTCATGGTTGTTGACAAAGTTGGAGAACTATACCTTATTCCAATTGTTTGAAAACATCTGAATACTAAGTTGTATAATACAAAACCCAGTAATAATCTTTAACAATCCTTATAGAACTGATTGCTGCTCCAATTAGTTTTAATTAAGCGAGGAAATATTTCGTAGATGTTTTTTTTTCCTACCTACCCATCAGATGATATTTTTTATTATTCCTCTATGAGCTTTGGCAATTTCGTTGTCCCAAATCCTATTTTACCTAAGTTTCGAGTGAATGAAGGATAAAAAATTCTCGCAGAAGCTTCTTACTCCATTGACAAATATTTATTGCACCAAGAAGATTTACTTGGAGTGCCTGAATGAAGAACAACTAATCAAAATCTTGTTTTTACTTGCTCTTAGTTTCTTTGAATCTTAAAAACCTCTTTCTTTTTTCCTTTTCTGGGTTTAATTTTTTTAGTTATCTACAAAGTTCATTTTTTTCATATATTTCTAATTTTTCTTTTTCACTATGTGGCTTTATTTTTTTTATCAATTTTGGTTTGTGTTTGCCATTTTTGTGACCATTGGGACTAGAGGAAATTGCAACTGAGAAGAGCTGTTAGAATTTAGGACAGTTTGGTCTTTTTATTTAAGGTTAACTTCAAAAAGTATGCTTTTTGACGGAAGACTAAGTATTATGACGTAGGCAAATCTCAGTTATAAATATTTATATAAAATTCAGAAATTACTTAGAAATTATGCAAAATCTATTTTCCCTATATAAAATGAATTTTTTAATTATAACTTGTACTACAAAAAATTGGGCTTTACCACCCACCAAAAAGCGTCGACACTTACCGATGACTAAGCGACAACTACGAAGACAGTATTTAAAAAAAAAAAAAATCGTTGGATATATTCTACAACGGAACAACGACGCATTACTAACGACATTTGCTGATGGAATACGTTTTGTTGGTATAGATTGGCGCTAAAATTTAGGCGGGTGTGTTACCGTCGTAATAATGATAGATAGCTGTCGGTGAGTACAACCGATCGCAAACGTTCGGTAAATTTTGGCTCAAGATTTAGGAGGGAGATTTACTGACGAAATACCGATAGTTTAGGGACCCAAATTTGGCGAGTAATCAAATTTTGGCGCATTAAATATTCCGATCGAATTTTCCCCGAGTTAATGTCCTGATAGAGTTACCGACGGATTACCGACAGAGGTTTGGATAATGGTTGAGATTTTTACTGACGAAAATTACTAATTTACCGACTGAAAGTGGACAGGTGGTGTCGTTTAGTTTTAACTTATATACCGACAGAATATCGATGGAATTTTTCGTCGATATTCATTAGGGTATTAAAATCGACTCTCTCTTCTACCCCTATTCACTTCACTCTATCGATCTCTCCCTCCCGCTCGCGTCTGTCTCTCTCAGTCGCTCACCTACGATTCAGGCTCAGCAGCGTTATGTTTAAAATAGTGTGCAAGTTTCAACCATTTGCCACTAATATTTGTTATGTATTGTTTTTTCTTTTTTTTTTTTTTTTTTTTTTTTTTTTCATCACTCTCGGCCGCTCGCGTTCCTGTCTCTCTCTAAGTCCCGCTCCCATCCTTTACGATTCAAGGGCTCAAGCAGCGTTTATTTTAAAAATTAGTGTGCAAAGTTTTTCATAAAAACACATTTTGCCAACTGAAAAAAATAATTTGTTAATGAGTGTACTTGTTTTTTCACTTGTTTTTTTTTTTTTTTCTCTATTTATATTTATTTTCTCTTTGAGCATTTGCTTAAGATAACATTGCAATATTGATTAGAGGAATTGTAGGGGCATATTGAACACTGACTGAGTTGAAAATAAAAAAAAAAAACTTGCTGGAATGGTTATCAAAAGCTTGCTAATGAAAGATTTACATAGAGTTTGGATTTCAACTCCACACATGGAACAAGAAATAAAAGGAAAACAACCATAATTTAGAGAAAATGAGTTGGCAAGTGTCGAGTGCTTGGAATACACACAGAATTTTAGCGGAAATCACGGCCCAGAATATTTCCTCGGTCGGACACCTAAAAGTAACTATGCACTAAGAGTTGAAGATTATTGGTGGTGAGAGAGAGCTTTGTGTCCACACAAGAACACACTAGAGAGAGAGTTTTCCCATTTCCACACTGAATACAAATGAGTTGAAGCGTATTAGTTATAAATAAAATTAATTAATGATTCACTAAATTGTTATATAGTTGGTAAGGTTTTAATGGTGGTTATACAACGTTGCTTAGTAATTTAAAAGTTATAGATAATATTAAAGAAGATTGTTGTATTTTAAAAATATCAGACTAAAGAGCTTTGGACGAAGTGCCCCTCTTCCAATAGAGATTTTCAACCTTCGCAGTGGCAACATGACACTCTAAAGAAGATACCGAAACTTTCCTTTATTGATGCGCCATGCCTAGGGTTTAGGCGTATTTTTTTTTTTTTTTTTTTTTTTTTTTTTTTTTTGCATTGGCTTTAGAAACATTGCATATGGGATGAGGCAATGACAGAGTTGATTAAAACTGCATGGATGGTCAAAGCTGCTAGAAGATACAGTGATTTCCTCCATGAACAGAGAATAAAAGGAAAACAACCATAAATTAGAGAAAATGAGTTGGCAAAGTGTCAGAGTGCTTGGAATACACCAGAATTTTAGCGGAAATCGGCTCAGAATTTCGGCTAAGACTTGCACGAGTGAGATTGGTGGTGAGGGCTTTGGTCCCACAAGACACACTAGAGGTTCCATTTCCACACTACAACATGTTAAGCGTATTAGTTAAATAATTAATGATTCTAAATTGTATGTTGTATTATGGTTATACCAACTGCTTAGTTATAGTTATAGATAATTAAGTTGTAGTATTTTTAATATCAGACTAAAGAGCTTGGACGAGTGCCCTCTTCCATTGAGATTTTCACTCGCACACATACTAAGAAGATCCGAACTCCTTTATTGATGCCCATGCTAGGAGCGTTTCTGTAAGTTTACCTTTCTTACCTATTTTAACCATTTGTTTATTTCATGTTGCTGACGTGTTTATATAGTATGTTCATGGAAATATTATCTGGAAATTTATAGAAAAACTTCAATAATATGTTGGTCGAGCAAACTCAATGATAGAATGACTCCTCAGATGCAGCTGCTACATATCATGACCAATTATATTTGGAGGCTGCTGGAGGGAAAAGAAAAAGGCGAGTCTATGGGCTGGGTTCATAAGCTTCCGTAATTTATAGGTCTAGCTAGGGGTGAGCATTCGATTCGGCCAATTTGATTAATTTGGTTAATTTGGCCAATTCGGTTCGGTGAATAAATATTCAGTTAAAGAAAATTAAAATTTCCATAATCGATTAAAACTTATTTTATCCGAATTAATTAAATTAACCGACTCTCAAAACTACTTCGTTTTGATTAAGTAGATAATAAAATTAAAAATAAAAAATATTTTAATTTTTATTTTGATTAAATAGTGATTAATAACTTCAATTAATTTTTATTTTGGTTAAAGTCGGTTAATCATAAATTTCAGTTAATTAAATTTTCATTTTCTTTAACTTTGGTTGGGTTAATAATTAATTCGGTTATAACGATTCGGTTAAGTTAGGTTAAAAATTAATTCAATTAAATTCAGTTAAGGCAAAAAAATTTTGGGTTAAAAATTTTACTCAAACTAACTGAATTGGCCAAATGCTCATTCCTAGGTCTAGCTCCTCTAGTGCACGATCACGATTAGAGCAGATGCCCAATCTTGAGACAATCCAAAGCAACGGACTGGTGAGATGCAACTGATGAGAGAGCAACAAGCAAATGAGATGCGTGAAGTACAGAATATGCAGTGTAAGATGCTCCGATTATTTCGACAGGACTTCTCATACTCTTGCTACACCTGCTTCAACTGCTACAGATCCCCCAACAAAGCACACTACTACTATAGATCCTCCAACACAACACACTATAAATGAGGATACTAATCTTACTAGGGGTAGGCACTATATGGTTTGAACCGAACAGAACCAATTCGGTCTATTTGATTTGATTTTCAAGTTGTTTGGTTAGATTCGATAAGATATGAGCATATATTTCAATATTCGGTTATTTGTTCGGTTGCATAGAAAGAAATCCGAATAGCCCGATTAAACTGAAAAACAAAACACAACATTTTAAGCTAAACCTATCTTACATATTTTATCTTTTCTTTTAGGTTTTCACATCTTCATGTAAATTGTTCACATCTATTTAAATTCTCTCCCACAGTCCTACTTAAAGATATAGTCTACGACTTTGTGCTTCTTCTACATAACTAATATCTCAATCCTATCTCCCTCTCATCTCACTTAACTTGTTCCAAATTTCAAGTCTCGAACAACACTACTGCTGCAGGTATTATTTTTTCTAGCATTTTTATTTTATTTATTTTATTATTTATTTGAGTTTTCTTCATGATTTTTCAATTCCCTACTATTTGTTTGTTATGCTTTTTTTGATAAAAAAATAAATCAACAAGTGGAATATATATAATTTTAAATTTATTTATTTTGAGTTTTTTCCTTCATGATGTTTTTCAATTCACCTACTATATATAGTATTTAAGTTATGCTTTATTTGATAAATAGAAATAAGTAAATAATCAACAAGTGGAATAAGTATAATATTAATAACGCATATGATATATAATATAATGTAATATAATAAGCATATATATATAAGGAGTATATTATAATAAGTTTGTTTTCTTTTTTTTGTGGAAGTTGCTCTTTGTTAAGAATGACAACATACTGATTCAGATTACTTGTGCATAACTTGAACAGTTCGACGAAACGATTACCAAAACTCAGTTTTGATATATATATGTTGTTTTCTTTTTTTGTTTCTTTGTTAGAGAAAAAAATAATGATTCAGATTACTGTGCATAACTGAACAGTTCGAATCGAGCCAAACCAGTTTGATTTGGTCCGGTTCGATTCGATTTCAGTTTCTATTTCGGTCAAGTCGATTTGCTATGCATTTAACTTTGGTTCAGTTAGTTTGAGTTGATTTGATCTGGTTTGAACTGAACCAATTGAATACCCACCCTTAAGTCTTGCTAATCTTGATTCAGTTGTAGATGATTTTGCATTCATATGTTACTGTTTTGTTTTTGTTTTACATTGCAGTAATAGAATGATTTTCCTTTCATATGTTATTGTTTTGTGAGTTTGCTTGATGGTTTGATTGTTATAATTGTATGTATTTCAATAGATTAGAAATTTTGGTACTGTAAAATATAAAATTTCTTTTTTATTTTTTTTAGTTTACCGATGGAATTTGGAAAACAATTGGCAGACTACTGATGGATTACCGACGCCATAATCATTAACAACCATGTAATTACTGACAGAATAATGACGGAAATATCATTAAAAACCACTCATTTACCAACGGACTCTCGCAAACGTGACCAAAATTCTCTGACGCAGTACCAACGAATGATCGATGGTTTACCGACGGATTATCAATGATAGTTTGACATTCTTTTCACGTCCTCTTACCGACATGCATTTGACATAATACTGACTGGAGGACTTCCATCGGCATATATTTTACCGTCCAGAAATTTAGCAACAATGTGCGAGTCCTTCGGTAATATATTTTACCGATCAATTTCTCATGTTTATCAACGGAAATTTCCGTCAGTAAAGGCTGATTTTTTTTTTTTTTTTGTTATTGTTGTATTGAAATAAATGTAATTATTAAATGTCAAAACTTATTTGAATGTTGAGTTAAATATGGATCCGTCTAACACGTGACGTAATTAGAATCAACACAAATATAATCTCTTTAATAATCATGTCAAATATTTAAACTTGAACACAATACAAAAATTAAACGAATGACATGCACACAATATGTATAATCGTTAGTCATATATGGATAAAAAAATCTAACCAATATAATTAAATAGATTGTATATAGATCGGAAAACACGACATGTTTAACACATAGAATCCGCTTAGTATGTGTGTATATATAATGAAAAATATCTCTCAAATAAATGGGTAAGACGAGTTAGACGAATCAACTTTTGGCATGATCCATTTAAACTCATATCATATACGAGTCATCTATCAAACAGATCCATTTAGATTCAACTAAGCATGGTCACTAGTTCGGTTTGAACTGAAGCTGAAACAAAAGTATCAATTTAAAATTTTGAACCAGAATTGATGATTTATGGAATTAGAACCAGCTCAAAGTCGGCAGCTTAACCAACAATATAATGTTAATTAGTGATTCCAGCTTAGTGAGTCTTTTCTCTCGCGATGAACTGTTGGCACCAATCCTACATCCTACATTTTATTTTATCTCTGTGGACCGAGGAGACAGGAGCTTATTGTACCATGAGAGAAGCAAGGAGGTTAACCTCTTTCAAATATACAACATGGATTCTGGTGATGCAATGTAGTTGGACTCTCATGTCGATCCGAATCAATTATCCTTTCCACGGAGGTAAATCTTTACATGCTAGGCAAGTGGATAGCATGTTATAAAACCATGTGCTATGGCTTAAATCTGTAGTCAATCTTATTTTCGATATGAGCAAATTATGTTTTATTTATTTGCAAAGTTAATGAATTTTATTTCTTATATAAATATGAACATGATAAAAGTTATTTAAATTTACTAATTTTTTTTTGTAAGAAAATCACATTAATTTTTTTGGGAAAAAAAGAGTAACTTTAGAATCTAATTTATGATTTTTTTTTTTTTGAAAAAAAAATGTATATTGCCAAAATCGTGATCTAAACAATTGGATCATTAAAATTACACTGGAACCAAAATCAAACTGGAATAGACGGTTTAAGTGTTGGGATTATAACTGATCCCGAGTGGGGCCTGCAGAAAAATACCGGTGGTAAAAGTAAAATAAAATTACTATTACCACATATACCTCCAATAATAATTACTTTATCCATCTACTGTCTGTGGATCCTAAATGATGTTGGAGACAGAAGGCCATTATTGTTAGCCTTATCCATACACATGAGAGAAGCAAGGAGGATTAAACCTATCTTTTCAAGATATGAACAACATGAGATTCAGGTAGAAAGACAATGTAGTATTTGCGGAAGATTCCATCTCTAGTCGCAAGTCGAGTATAATGAAATTTCCCCGAAATATCAATTTATCTTCTTTCCTGACGGAGGTAAATTTATTATATACATGCCAGATAGGGTCGCTAATAGTGGGAATATAGCATGTTATAGTGGAAACCTCATGTGAGCTATAATGTGCCCATTATCTAGTAGGTCCAATTCGTTTATTTTTTGCGAAGTATGAGCAAAATTATAAATAGTTTTATTTTTGTGATTTGGCCAAAGTTAATTAAATGACTTTCATTTTCTTATCATACCAATAACGCAAACACTGATCACCAAAGTTATCCTTAAAAGTTAATAAAAAAATAAATTTACTATAAATTTTTTTTTTGTAAGAGAAGAGTACCACAAATATAATTATTGTTATATGGGAAAATCAAATGAGTAACTTAGAATACGGCTTAGATTTATTGGATGGGTGTTTTTTTTTTGTGTTGTAAATATAAAATGAATGTATATGATTTGTGGCTTCGTGGTGTAATCGTCAATCCTAAAACACAACTAATTGGATCATCAAAAATATATAAACAAGCGACTGGAATACCAAATCAAACTGGAAAAAATAGAGGCGGTCTCACACACCGGTGTGTGGGTGGATTTATATAGAACTGATCTCCGGGCGAGTGGGCGCTTCTACCAGAAAAAAAAATATACCACATCCCTGGGGGTGGAAAAAAGTATAAAAATAGATGAGTAAGTTTAAAATTACTACCCAAAATTACCACATAATCCATCGCCTGTTTTGCCGTTTGGCCTAATAATTCGTCATTAGGATTATTGACTGAGTACGGACATTCCACTAATACACACTAATCCTTAACTCTGCCTGGGGAGCTTTAGGGGTAAAAAATTAAATTAACACTGTATTAATGACAGAATGTAAAAAATATAAGAGAAAGACACTGAGTTTACGTGTTCAAACCCTGTCAAGAACCTGTTAATGGGCTACAATCCAACGGAATACAAACTCCGAATAATTCTTTCGCGTCCACTTAAAAATAGTTAGTGTATGACAAATGTTTAGAAGAAGATTACAAAAATTAGTGGTACTTTCTATGAGTTGTTTCTCTAAAAAAAAAAAAAAAATCGACCTATTACTCTTTTGTCAGAGAAAGTAAGTAAGGGTTGTTTATTCCTTCAGCTAGTTGGTGCGCTTGTAGACTCTTAGAGCCCTCGCCCCTGTGGATGGAGTTCACAGGACACTTTCACCTTATCCCTTCAAAACTCTTTTATTACAATCTTTTGGTCAATTTTGTTTTGTACATAGTTTAAACGACTTTAACTTTGAAAAAACCCTTCTCCTATTTATTAGGAAGAAACGGTGGACACGTCATTAACTTTCCTCGTGCGTTTTTACTGAGAAGCGCGGGATGGGGAATTATATGACAGCCTACCGATCTTTTCACAAGAGTTTAAACGAATGGAGCGTTAAATATTTTTCCACAAGCCGCAATGTATAGATTGGCGGATGCCATAAAAATTTTTTCCTCCTTTTTCTTCGATTACACAACGTGTGTGGGTCCCTACAGCGTTGAATCTTGTCTTCTTCTTTCTTTTTTTTTTCTTTTGACGCAACAATTAAAAACGGTATTTTTGGTTTTTTTATGTTATTCACATTTTTCCAATGCTTTTGTCGTGTGCCCACATGGTCGGAAGCTCTGTTGGAAAATTACGTACACTACACAATACAAAATTCTCCCCGCTCGACCTACATGGTGGGACGTCTTCTATAACATTTCGCACAAAGAACAGGATTAGCTATAATATGGAACATTAAGCGCGAGTTTGAACTTCTTTCTTACGGATAAAGAAATTCCCTATATTTTGAGTCAGTAATCAAGCGTTAGCAAATTATCATTTTATTGTCTTGTGGTGTGTCTTTCCGAGAGAGCACGATACATTGAGGGATATTGCTTCCTCGGATTTCAAATGGCAGATGATTTAAGAGCCAAATGAATCCACTTCTTACGAGTAATATCAATAGTAGTTTCGTTCGGGGTGGTGGCATGTAACATGAATTAGGTTAAGCAATTTTCTGTTTGCTCAAGTCCTAACGCATAACTTTTGACACTATTACAATAAAACTATATGATAATTCTTACCCTTGGCTAGGCTACACCGTACATGCTTATGAAAAAGAATATATTAGCTTTAACTAAGATAGGCATTATCCTTTTCTGCTATGCGCGGTGTTTGCCTCTTAGGGCAAGAGAGAGATCGACGTAAAACTCTGCGCTTGAGTCAGTCCGTCCCTTCATATCGTTTCAATTTAGAAACGAAACACAACTATTTTTGTAATCTTTGAAGGCCCCAGTATTATAATATATTGCTCGCCCTCTGGATGAATTGTAAATTAAGGTATCGCTGCATCTCGTATTGATTATTCTTACACTTATTCAAAAGATCACCCGGAAGTTTTGGACGAGGATTCTTGTGATCTGCACATCGTGTATGCCAAACCAAGTGCGATGCTCCTTTTTACACGCTGCAAAGTTAGAAGCATGAACTAGTGTATAGTTCCTAAAGGTCTCTCAGCAGTCCAACTCTGAAGATTTTCCCCCACATATTTGTAACTGTCTATCTGGCTATCCCAATTGTGGGTCTTTTATGTGGAGAATTTGTATATAGTAAGATCTCCTTCTTCTCAGGAATCCTCAATGCTAGATGGAAGATTACAACACCTGGAAAGCTTTTGTAGGACGTTGCAATGAGGTTCTGGATATCTTGGTCCTTTGCGTTTATCAACAGACATTCGGCGATACATCAAAACACACTTTCACCGACCGCTGAAGAAAGTTGGATATTCTCCTTTTTCTTTAGGTAGATACGGATTTCTTCTACTCACTTGAAGTGAGCGGCAGCGGAGTTGCTAATTGGTTTTAGCATTTCTTTAGCATATGAAGCCTTCTCTAGAAGCTTGTCTATATATATTTTTCTCCTAGATATACCATAGGTGGGGGTTACCCAACCTTGCAGGTACTTTTCTATCATTCGAATATCTTCCCATTCATGAGAATATTGCGCTTGCCGAGCCAAATCCTTCATTGTCAAATGCTGTTTCTTGAACAGAATCACTCTGTTAAGCGTTGCTAAGATCGATCTGTGCATCTGAGTTCTCACCCGTAATTATGCAGTATCATGCAACGGATATAAAGAGAAGGATGATATAAGTTTACCAATCAAGTTGCGAGTTTGTTTGTTTTTTTGTGGTTTGCGGTTTTTTTTTTTAATTTCAGACATAATACCACAAGGATCTGCATTATGGTCACCTATTTTGTATCCTTTGATTCCACCACTGAAAGAAATCAAACTTTTTGTTATAACCATTTGGTCACACGGTGCTAATGAGTCTCAACACTATACAAGTCTCTCCTTCTAAAGTCGACATAACCATGGTGTCCTCTTTTCCTTGAACCTTGAAACCTGTCCTCTTTTTCCTTGACCTTGAAACCTTTTGGTTGTTCCATATAGATTTCTTCCTCTAGATCCCCATGCAAGAATGCGGTCTTCACATCAAGCGGCTCTAACTCAAGATTCAAATTGGCTACAAGACCTAGTATAACTCGAATAGAAACTCATTTTCACAACT